AACATGGTAGCTAATAGAATAATTGTTAGGTACTGGAAAAGAGTTAGAAAACTTAACATAAGCAAGTTGCACACTGGTTTAGGTAAAGAATAGGGTTACCATATGTCCACGTTTTCCCAGACACGTCCTCTTTTTGACCTCCTGTCCTGGCAGGTTTTTAAAATGGAAGCAAATGTCTGAGTTTTTGTTCTACCTCTGCTTTTCCCCCACACTTGCGGCATGGCTGCTTGGGGCCTGGAGCAGCAGGGAAGGTGATTGGCTGTCAGGGGAGCACGTGCTCCATGTGCGGACCCTGGCAGCTGCTCCCAGGTCAGAGACAGAGATGCAGAGAGAAAGTGTGTGTGTGCAGGTGTGTGAATTGCATGGGGAGCAGAGCTGGGGGCGCAGGGGCTGCGGGTTGGGAGTGAGGAGCACCATCAGGGCTGGTGGGGGACTGTGGCTTAGGAGTGAGGGGGCAGAAGCAGGGCACAGGCATATCACGTCCTCCCTCCCCCCCCACAATCATATACCCCTTCCTCCCCTTTCCCACCCCCTCGCCCTCAAGTATCCTCTCTTTTGATACTAGAAATATGGTAACCCTAGTAAAGACATTTCAGTACCAAGAGTTACTCAATGGCAAAATGTTAATGCTGAAGGGGTTATCAAAGTGCATGATCCTGTGTTTTGTCATATGTAATTAAAAAGTTGAAGTAAATTGCTACTTTCACATTTGTTTTCCTTATTCTTGAAACCCGACTTTACTGTATAAACAATTTGCTTTTATCTTTTTGTCATTTTGTATTATCTTCATGCTCAAACACCTTTTCTCACCTACACTATCTCTCTCTCCTTCTCTTTCTTGAAAAATGAGAAAAACCCACACTTTACTTCCAAACTTTAGCATCACAGGGAGGAAAATAACCATGTACTTACAACCAGAGAGAGTTTCTCCCTTGTGTGATAACTCCAGTGAACTTTGTTAGCCTCCGAGCATCTACTTCAATCCATTGATACGGGTCATTTCGTCCTGCACACCAAGCACCATCATAAAAATCATTTTCGTTAACACCTGCCTGAAAAGAAGGCAAAGCTGTCTTCATAAATCAGTATCAATAAACTCAAAACCTTTCATGGAACAAAACAAAAGAACACAAAATCATCACTCATTTACTTCTTCCTTTGCTCACACAGATGTTCTAGCAGTCCATGGAGAACCCTCTCTCAAGAACTGTATAGACTGGCCAAGATATTTTATTTCCCAAAGTGGAAAAGGTATTTTAAAGTCCCTTTAAAAGATAAGTTCTAGAAATATAAATTTAATATACAGTTGATGGGCCTGATTTTGAACAGAGCTTCAATCCAACTTGTGCTTCTGTGCTTTCAAGTAAATAAATCTATCCAGCCCAAATTATCCATTTGGTCTTCTGAGCTGTAAGGCCATGCACTCCCTGATATACTGAGTCATCTAAAGACTGCCCCATTATGAAGCCCTTCCTCATTTTTTCATCCACAAGGAGTTACAGAGCATAAAGAACCCATGAAACTGGGACCTGCATTTTCCTGTATTCTGACTCTCCGTCTTCAGGAATATTCAGGATTCACAGCTAGTCAGAATCAGCTCAAATTATAACTCAGGAACACCCACCTCTCAGTCTTGCTCATAAACCACTAGACCCTCATAGGTATTTTAGTCAGTCAGTAAACATTAAATATGCACAGTCTTCCCAACATTTTCAGAGGAGGAAAAGCTACAAGGTATCTTGACCAACAGAACAAATTGTTTGAAATCCAAATGAATGCAACTGAATCTGAGGAAACTGCAATCAAGCTGGAACTGAGCACAGGCCATTTCCTGGGAAGTTATAACTAGTGACAATATAATTATGGGTGGAGGAATGGTAAGAGCCATTAACTTCACTTCATCATTAATCCCCTGTAATTCCCCTTGCCCTGAGGTAGCTGTTTCTATTACAAAGTGCAGAAGCTTGATCCACAGCAACTACACATGCTTTTTAATGTTTTTAGACATGTTATTTGCTCTGTGTTTTTTTAGAAGTTATAAAATGCCTTTCATTACTGCCTTGGCAGTTCTAAGAACAGTTTACAAGTAATTTGAGCTAGTTGGTATCTCCCAAGCGTACACAAAGAGCCACATGGGAATATTTTGTAAATATATAAGTAAATGTGGTAAAACATATGGATTGTTTTTTTCAGTGATCTAGCTTCTTTTGGTGTATATGTGTATTACATGTATGGAATATTTCTAGAAAAGAAATGCCTGATGTTGAGCTAACTTCAACCTTCAGGACACATACCACTGACCATTTGCTGATTGGCTCCCTCCACAAAATAAGCCTAGTAGTATCTGGTTTGTCTTGCTACGAAGACTGAACTTCCAGTCAGTGGAAGTACTGAAATAAAATATCAACCTGAAATAGAGATAGGTCCTAAGAAGGAAACTTCTAGAACTTGCAAGAGCATTTGACTGGAGTCTTTGGTTCAGAATGAGGTCATTGTTTTGCCCATTTATCTGTTGATGAGGAGAAAAATCTGACCTCTAAAGTACTGTAGCACAAAAAGAGAAAAGGGGAGAGAGAAGAGATAGTGAAATGAGAGCTGTCTCATTTCCATAAAGCACCGAAGCACATGCTTAAGTCCCAGTAGTTTCATTGGGGCTAGGAACAGAAGTTACACATAAACCAGTTTAAGTGATCAGAAACTGGTTTAAACCTGTAACAGAACATAAGGTCGGTGCACATAAGCCAGTTTCAAAATGGCTGAAACTAGTTTAAGATAAACCCGGTGGAATGTAGTATCAAACTTAACTGATTTAGGTCAAACTATTTTATGAAACTTCTGTCCAGGTTCAAATTAAATCAGAGTTCCCCAGCATCCAGCATGGTTTGCAGCCCTGGGATGGGCTGTACTGTCTGCTCTGGAGAGCAGGGCTGGCCCTGCCCCTCTGCTCCCTAACTGGACCAGTGAAGGCTGGCTCACTGGCCCCCTCAGGCAAACCCCTACTAGGGGCTGGGGCCAGAGAAGAGGAGGTTAAACTTCCCTGCCCCTGAGTATGGAGCTGTCCTGACCTGTTTACTTAGGGCTGGCTGTGATTGTAGACTACAAATCCCAAAAGCACCTGGAAGCAGGAAAAGGGAGAGATGAGGAATCCTGAAGAGTCCTGCTTCTATGAGTCTGGACTGCAAACCCCAGAAACCTCAGGGGTAGCAGGAAGAAGCAGCAAACACACAGGCCATGTGGGCTATGTGCCAGACAGCCATGCTTTAGTGCCTGCCAGTTTCTGGTTTGAGCCACTGCAGGCATGTGGCTGCATTTCCCGAATCAAAAGTGAATGTCTGTTCATTTGCTTATTGGTTCAATTATTGTAGCTTAGACTAACCTCCAAAAACTGAATTAATTCAGCCTCAGGCTTTTTGACTGTCTGTACTTAGCCTGGGAGTTAACTATATGGTAAAAGTTAAGCACATGCTGAAGTGGTTTAACTGCAACATGGCCAAAGGACAGAACATAAGGATGAAACCTGTATCCTGGGGTTTTTTGTTTGTTTGTTTTATGCTTGCTTCCACTCTTCTCAGGCTAAAAGAATATTTTTTTTACCATGTGTTTTACCAACATGTTGTTTGCTCCTGTTTAATTATAATTTTCCTAGAGAAAAATCTCAATAAACCCTTTTGTTTTAAATTTCTTTTTAATGTCAGGAGTACTTTAATATGTTTCAAAAAGGTATTTTAAGTTTTTGAATAGGCAGTCTTTGGCTGCCTTTCAGTATTGTTTCTATAAATTGCTTCTGTTCTTAATCAAGCTTTTTGCAGACTAAATTGTTATTAAATATTTTTGAGAATTTTAATGTAAATGCCTTATTATAAATATAAATTCACTATTATCAAGTATTCAACAAAGAATATGGATCAAATATCAAAATATACTCTTCCCAAAAAGCTGTTTCCATCATTTTAAAATAATATTTATTTAAGTGAATTACAGAACTAGAATTGTGATACAATTGCCAAAAGGGAAATATTTTTAATCTACTTTAAGACATTTGATGCAGTCAGTTTGCAACTAGGATAATGAAAACTTTAATGAAAGCAGGAAATAAGATAGACTAAAAATCCAGCAAAGAATTCAATCAGATTTCATTTACACTGGGCATTTTAGTTTTTAGTAAATTTTGTGTCAAACCACATTATCTTCATTGTGAAGAGAGATCAAACACCTGAATCTCGACTGATGTAGATGTTTATTACAGGCAGATACATATCCCCAAATCTAAATTGTTCTTAAATTTGCAATCTAAACTTTTCTGAATTCCAGGTTCTTTGCCACCAGACTTTGTTATATGCCATAAGGGAGAGAGGTTTGCAATACAAGATAAGGTGAGAACCTTTGGTTGGAGCTGAAGTTTGTTTTGAAAGTTTTGGTTGTGCCCCACCTACTTAAACATACTGCTGTTCCTGGATCCCATATGCCTTAAATCAGGTGTGTCAAACTTATTTGGTCCTACATACAAGGCCAGTCTACAGGCTGGATCTGGCCAACTTATGGGCCCCAACCACCAGATAGGGTGGCCATTAGCCCTTTTTATACCAGACCATCCTGTTTTAAAACCTTTTGTCCCCTATCTGTTCTTCAATGAGGAGCGGACTGCAGAAACTCCTATTTTTCAGTTCATTGGTGGAAATGCATGTCAAACATTTGTCCTCACAATTTTATTGGCTGCAATTAGAGGTAGGGCAGTGGACAGCCAGCAGAATCAGGTTTCCAAGCCAGCCAGGGAGGGAGGGAAGGATGGAGGTGGGGGATCCAGAGGCTGGTCCTTCTGTACCTGTGTAAGGAGCCATGGCTAAAGTGCATGTGCAGGCATGGCAAGAGCAGAGAGCGAACTGTTGCATGCCTGACCCTGGGCACGGTATGTGTGAGGCTCTGGGGGCAGCTGAGCTTCCAGGGCCAGGAACTTGGTCTGCACACTGCCTAACCTCCTCCCCCTCCCCCCAAAGTAGCCTCAGCACAAGGTCATAGCTTTGAGAGCAGGCAGGTGGAACACTGCATTTGTATCCGCTGGAACACCAGTGGGACTGGGAGGAGGCTCTGCTTTTTCACCCAAAGAGCAGCCTGGTGAGTCCCTGGAGTGTCCTGCTACATGAGGAGGGGAAGCTTTGGGCAGAGGTGCCTCTGGGCTCCTGGGCAGCTAGGCCAGCTCATTAAGCCATTATTTCTCCTCTGGGACAAGCAAACCTGTCTGTCTCCTGGGGGGAAAGAAGGGAAGCTCCTGCTGGGCAGCTGGCTGCATTGCCTCAGGCTTCCAGTGCCCATTGACCCCACTCAGCCCAGCTCTGACCAGAATGTGGCCAGGGCAGATTCCTGGGTGCCCAGTGTCTGTGATGAATGCTGATAGGGGGGAAGTGAGATCCCTGTGCAGTGTGTGTCCCTGGCGCCCAGTCATGGAACTGGGTTGGAGTGAAACTGGATCCCAGTGTGGGGAGGGCATGCTCGAGCCTTGTGCCTGCTAAGCCACATTCTCTCTAGGCTGGACTGTCTGGAGAGAATGGCAGAGCTGTGGGATATGTAAAACCAAGATGCAGGGCAAGTGAGGCTCGGCTTCCTGCTGGCTGAACTGCAGAGGCTCACAAACTTGCTGCTGATCCTAGTACTTCCTCTCTCTCATTTCACAGGGTGCTACGCGTTCATTGATGTGGGGTTCATGGACTGAATAGCAGTCTTTTTGTGTGGACCCACCCCTCAGTGATGATTGGCCAAAGAGGTGGTGGCCCCACCCCTCACCACTGATTGTCCAAGGGAGCCAGTGGTTCCTCCCCTCACCAAGAGGGTGTCCGGTATTCTGCATATGCATCAATGGCCACCCTACCACCACAGTCAGCACACAGGACCAGTGTGATGCAATGCACTAGGGCATATGTGATACAGTGTATGCCCTAGACCAGCCGTGTACACTGCATGCAGCGTACACCAGACCCAGCCTTGGGTTCACATGCAAAACCAACATGAGACGTGAGCTGCATTTGGTACCTGTTCCAGACTGGTCTTGCGTGCTGGC